TGGCACTGCTGCAAAGTTTTTTCAGGTACCCAAAATTCCCTGAAAGTGTTATTCAATTTGTAGGGTCCTATTCCCACAACTAACCATGATTATTGAATTGGCCACAAAATATGCAAACTCTGATACATATCTGCTTAGAATATGTTCAGTGACATTCTTTGATACATTCTACAGATCCTCAGCTCCCTCCCTTACCTGGATCTCAAATTCTCTTCTAAGCCATGTAAGTTTTCTTACAATTATTGTCTGTACACTGGCTCACTAGTTTTCTGGGACTCCCAATCCTCTCCTTCAGATTCCTCAGATCCTCTCTTTTTTTTTCCTATTGTAATTGTCTGTATTTTTATATCCCATTGAGAGGTTATAAACCTTTCCTAGAGTCTCTTCTGTTCACAAATTAGGGAAAATATCCTAAGTTGTTCGCCATGGGGAGCCCAAAGCTGACCTAGGGAGGAGGGGAGAAAATGAGTCTGCAGCAGTTTGGCTGCCTCTTTTCCAAACCCATCCGTACGCAAATTGCTTGCTATCCCAATCATCCCACAGACTTCATGGGACTCTTCCACATTTACAGGACCAACTCACTGAGCTGTGCCAGACAGTCAGAAAAAAACTGCTCCTGCCCTATTCACCATCCACCCACACCCACAGGAAAGAAAAACTTTGGTGCACTGGCACTGTGTGTGTAAGAGGAGAGAAGCACACTGACCGAAACACTGCCTTCCCCTTGAGAGAACAGGCACATCTCATTATTGTGCTTCCCCACAGTGTGTAGCTGCTATACATAACCACACAGCTTCAAACATAGATCTCTTGGCTTCCTGCTCATTTTCCACAAAGTCTAACTTGGTGATAAATTTGCTTGCCAGCCAGGAGGGAACAGATTAATTAGCGAAAGACGTGGGTTTTCAGACTTCAAAGATGCTCTTGGGTTTAAATAAGTATTAGTCTCTACGTTGCTAAATTGAGCAGAATTCTTTTTCATTGGGAAATTTGAAATGGAGCAGTTCTGCTGTCAGCCTTGCTATTTTAAGGCCCTCAAGAGTCAAAGTGTTTAAGCAATTCCTAATCGGAAATCAAAGTTACAAAAAATATTTGCTGAAGTCCTGTGTTTCAGGATTAGTCTTCTGAAATTCACTGACTTGTAGGTAAAATACATTTTCTACAATTCTGTATTGTTTTCCTAGTTCTATTTGGATGTTTCTGGTAGCTGGCCCAGGTGGCAACAGGACAACAGAAGCTGATAAATCAGAAATTGCAATCACTGCTCAAATGAGGAAAGCTTTAGCAGAAGTGTGAATTTGAGGATGAAGAATGGAGTTTTTTCTTCCTTTTGACTACAGCAGCAGTATGCATTATTAGTACTAAAACACCAGCCATGTGTTTTACTGTGTTGCATTGCAATGTGTAAAAAGAGGTGTCTGTCAAACATGCTTCGCCCCAAAATTGAACAGAGATTAAAAATACAACCCATCACTCCAGTGGTGGGAATTTCAAACACCCCTAGGAGTAAAATATTTGCAGGGTCTTATAGAAAAGATCTGTAAACTCATCTCCCATCAGTATCACTGCAACATCAGTCAGCAAACCTCAACTATACCCTCCAGGTAGAGTAAAAGAATTGCAAGTTTTGTGCAGAAGTAAATTATGTGTTTCTGGAAATATTTGATATAAAAGAAGGGAGAGTACAGCAAGAGTTCTCACAAAATCGATGATACTAAGAAACAGGTTTTTTGTCCCTGAATTGTGTTCTTGAAATCAACCTTAAGGGTCTCCTTTCTTCTAAAGGAGCCAGCTGAGGTGATATCTACTGACATTATCCCAGGAAAGGATCACATTCTCAGAAGAGATTGAAAAATAATTATTCCAACAGCAGAGAACTGCAAATCCCGCACTCCAGTTGGTCCTCCCTCCTCCATCAGAGCAACCCAGTCTCTAGGAATTGTTGAAAACTGGTCAACCAATCTCAAAGTGGTGGTGAAACCTGAGAGCCCAGGCGATGTCTGGCCTTTCACAGCACCAAACACCAAAAATATTTTGATCACTGTGCACTGTGTTTTAAGAAGGCTGAGGAAAAGAAGGAAACATTCTTCCTACAAAGTGTCAGCCTCTCATAGACGAGCTAAGTAAATAAGGTGAGAGAGCGAACTCTTGAGCCACCAAGGTGGAGTGTGACAAGGACTGTAAATCAGAGATTGTGCATGCTCCAAAAGGGAAGCTGAGGTTTCCTGATTCAGAAGAATGCTCCTAGACTTATCAAGACCCAAATTCTGTTTTGGAACAGGCAGCAGCATGACCTTCTATTTTATGACATGCTTGGAAAAGGTACTGCTCCCAGGAAGTCCCTCTTAAAAACCACAAGTCATTGTCTTGCTGTAAATCCCCAGCACCGGGGGTCTTAGTGTTCTTGATCCTCAAGTGTGATTTCCAATGAGGTGACAGAGCCCCAGAAGACTGACCTCTGTGATTAGTGTTCCCTTAGACAGATCCATGCCCTTAAAGCATCGACCTCTGGAGCCACCAGCATGTGTCCATGTGCTTCTGTATCTATTTTTGGAGTCCAGACCTGAATGTGGCCCTTTGTACCTTAGCTATCGTTTTGCTGACGAGATAAGAATATTTTCATTCTGCGCCTTGTTTATTTAAATGTCAGCCCTTTAAAGCAGAAACATCCCTCACTGTGTGCGTAAATCTGATAGAGTATCAAGGGGGATGGGAGAATGGGAGCTCTAAGCATAGTAAAAATGGCAGTAAAACTACACATCCTGTGTACAAATGCATTCTTAATTGCTGTTGTTAGAAAACAATCTTCTATGAACTTTTTCTCTGTTGTTACAGACTAGCTATAACATAAAAATCTCCTGGCTGTTTAAATGACGTGGCTAGGAAGAAGATTTCTTTCACTAAGAATGGAGACAATTTAGAATATGGAGCAGAACGGGATAACATGAATATTCAGAAACTCATGGAGTCAACTTTCTGCATGCAGATTAAATCATAAAAAAAATGCCACTGCCTGCAGTATCAACTCCTGGTCATAACTGCACTATTTATAATGGGATATTAAGCTTTAGTTATGTTACTGTCTTAGGCTACATAAACCACTAGGAAAAGAGAGAATAAATAAGGTTTTTGCAGATTACTTAATTGTAGCAAACAGGAAGTTGCACTAATCACAATTTTGCTTTGCAAGGAAATTCCATGGTTGAGAGCTGGTGGAATGGATTCAGGGGGGAAACAGGACTGACATTAATCAGTGTGGCTCCCAGTAGGCCATTAATCAGGGTGGGGCAAAGCCTTGGTAACTCGCAGACCTCCACTGAAACAGGCAGGTGTGAAATACTATAGCTCCACTGAAGTAAACTGCTTGACCTGGGGATTTGGGTCCTGTTGGAACTGGGAAGGATGGATACATGTCACGTTCTTCTTCAAAGGGGCTAAAGCCTGTCAGAATTCGTGCTGATCAGGGCAATCTGCTTCCCTGGAGAGGGGAAACGTATGTGAGCTTGAGCAGGTGAGATGGATATACGACCTTACAGAACTGATCCAGAGGCTGACATGCCAAGGTCAAGGGCAGCTCTGGCAGTAATATTCACCTTGAGTGTACCTTTCAACAGACAGGGAACTTTAGAGCAGCATGTTCACTCCAAGTGTCTTATAGTAATGCTTCCTAGCCCATAGTGACCTACTGGAGAGATGAACAGGTCCTATCACCTGCAAGCTGCTCAAAGACCTGACGCTCACAAGCTTCATCCATATATGCACTACCAAGGAAGGATAGTGGCTTGTCAGTGGGTCTTGTAGTCCCCCTGAGTGCGCAGGGTGGGATCTGTGTGCTGTCTATGCTAAGAATTTAATAAGTTGGCCGACAGCCATGATGCCAGTTAGCAAAAACTCACTTGCTTCATTAAAGGAATTGCAAGCAATTGGTGGTTTGCTTTCCATTGCTATGAATAGTCTTGTCAAGGTTTTTATGTCTTTCAGAAGCAGTAGCTCTGTCTTACTCATGTTTCTCACTGCAGAAATTGGGAATCTCATTATCCGATATACAGACACGGGCTGTGTCTTACCCCAGGTAGTGCAGTATGTGCCAACTACAGCAAAAGCTGGGTCAGTCTAGTAGTGAGACTGATTTCAGCTCCGCTACATATGCCTGGTGCAGGACACTGGAAATGTCTCTTCCTCTCCCATTCCTTCACTTTCCTTTCAAACACTTTTACTGTCTTCTGTCTTTGGGCTGTGAACAAATTGAATCTTTCTCTTCTTCCTTTCCCAGAAGAGCCTGTAAGGTTAGAGTTCCCCACGAGCTCATTTGGAATGTGTTGCCTCTCTTCCACCACCCTGAACAACCAGCTGTGTTCTTCATATTGATCATATACTGTATTCTGAAAGATACTTACAGGAAAATAACTGAACTCAGACTGAGACCATGTATACCTAGAGCATGATACAGATACTGTTGCTCATGGCAAATACTTTTGTTTTAGAAAGAGATTCAAAAGTTGTGACTCCTGAGCCTAGCTGGGCATCTTCTGCCTGGAATCCTTGCCTTCTCTGTCAGAACTGTTCTTTGGGTGAACAAAGAGAAAGATATTTTCATCCAATAATTTTCCTACATTAATAACAGGATTACTAGAAATCCATTTTTTCTTTTTAATATCCTTACACTTTCAAAGCTGAGGAGTCTTGCAGCAAATTAATGTATTTGGCTACAGGTTCTGCACAGGCATACAAACCCTAGATAAGCTAAAACTCTTTTTTTAAAATTGATTTTTTTTTCTCAGGCAATATTTTTATGTCCACCTTCTAATCTTTAATTGGATGCCAGAGTTAGCATATTGACAATTTGGCTCACTATCCATTTAATTCTGTTTTTACTGCTGATAAAGTACTTACACCATTTTACATAGGGAAAGACTGGCTGGGGAAGTTGGAGTAATTTAGTGCTAAAACCCATTGTACATTAAGACATATCCTGTTGATTGTTACAAGGACATACTTACTGTGGTCCAACCAACCTGCTGACCCAGGTCTGTAAAATACAGTGTAATGATGGAGGAAACAGCAAGACTTTGAATGTTAATTGAATCTTTCAAAAAGGGCCCGTCTGCAACAACAAAAAAGGAAGAGGAGATGGCATGAAGAACAGGTATCCTCTCAGAGGCTCTGCGTAATGCATAGACTGCCCTGATAATGGTCCAGGTGTCAGCCCAGCTTGTATTCTGATTTATTTTGGTGGCATGGTACTTATTCAGGTACTTATCCAGGTTAGCAACTTAGAGCTCTTCTATGAGAGTTATTCTAATCTCATTTTAACAAAAGCATCAGGCTGACATGACACTGGGCAGCAATGCGTAGCAATTGTATGATACTATCTCTGTTAATCTAACCCATTAGAGACATGCCAAGCAATCACACAGACAATTCCACAGAGCACTCTTTGTTCTGTCTTGCAAGACTAATGGCAAAGTCGACTTATGCGGTGTCTCCCTCGCTGAACTATTTTGCTGAAGCATTCGTATCCTCAGGCTATTTCACATTAGGTGGCACCTCATGATGAATGCAATTTCTTGGGCCAAGGCCCACTGTCCAAGATTTCTTTGTAAGCTCTGACCTAGGCGGACCAGGTGTATATGAGCACTACATTATTTTTCACAGTATTCTGAGGCATCTGCTTCCGCTCCTAATGGACATAGAGTGTAGAGACAGAGAGATAAAATGGCAGTATCTGGTTCTCTTTTGTTTGGGAAACTCCAACAGCCACTGGCATGAGATGTTGCCATGGCTGCAACACCTCTTTGCTCTCTTCTGCTTTATGCATTGTGTCTCCCTTTCAATACATTTGATGACTGTTTATGTCAGTAAGGATGCTAAATTCCATTCATCTGCTGAGCCCTCATTTTCTAAGGCTTTGCAATTCAACATGTCCACAGACCAAATACCACATAGCCCATGGCAGCTTTATCTCCCACTGCCATGTCCACCAAAAACTTGTGTACTGGCACAAAAAAAGAGGCTGCCTCCTGCAGCCAGCTGCATCTTCTGATGAGGCTGTGAGCAAGTATTAAAACAGATCACGCAGCGAGCGAGGGAAGTGAGCAAATGGGTTTAAAACTGCCTTGTCTTCATTATTTGATCATATACGGTATTCTGAAACATTATGAAAACATTAGATTCCTTTATTAATAAGAAAACTAATAAGTTAATAATTGATGTCCGTTAATGAAAATGTGCTAACAGTTCATGCGATAACACATATAGAGAGAGCAATGCTGTTCGGAGGAGAATCTGCCAGGGGATTAGTAATATATTAGGTGGCTGTATTCAACCGTATGAATACTTACTGCGTTCTAGTTGCAGGCCAACACGAGAAGGGTACCACTGGGGACCTGTTCCAATCACAAAGCGCGGCTGTTAATTTCATGGTGAAGGATCTAAAGTTCTGTTAGTTGGGGTTTTCTTTTCAGCTGATAGCTACAAAAGCGAGATGGAAAAAACCCCCACCTTTCTCTCTTTCTCAGCTATACAAGGAGAATACAAGAGAGCTGGAGGAGCACAAATTTACACACATTAGAGTACAAGTCCCTTCTCTGTTCTTATGTGTTGGAAGGGTCAATCTCAATGCTGAATGCTCCATCAGCACGTGAAAAACAGACCTGTTGTGCACCACTGGGAAGTATATAGAGGACCCTGTTTATTACTGTATTTGCCAAAACTCAGTACTAAATGTGTCGGTCTTGCCCCTCCTTCTAAAATCATGCTTGTGCTATAGTCTGGTCCAAAGGGGGTGATGTTTCCCATTCAGGAATATAAAAACTGAACTAATGCAGCTTGCATTAGTTCTTAATCATGGATTAATCAGAGAAACAGAGATACAAAAAGTAGAGGCACATGGGTGCCAGCTAATACTGGGTTACTTATGACTTCCATGATACCCTCAACTTAAGGATGTTTCCTAGAAGCAGATTTTTAAATGCACTAAAGGTCATCCCGAAATGCACAATAGCCCTTGGCAGTTGTTCTTGGATGCCCTTTGATGATTTTGGACCAAATCTGTCAGTTTGGTCTAAGTGGTACGGTTCAAATTGTTAACGTGGCCAGCTCTTTGTAGTGCCTGTAGTGCCTCTAGAGCTGTGCTGCTGAATGGACAATATAAACACTCCTCCTTTGCATCACAAAGATACATAAAGTCACTTAACCCATACACTCTCTTCAGTTTGCTGTTGAAGGATTTTAGGGCTGCCCTGAGGCAGTCTGGGGAGACCTTACACAGCCCATGGTGTTGATTGAGATTTGTGGGTAGCAAAGACTGTCAGAGGAAGGCAAGGGACCTGCTGCAGTATCATCACCCCCATCCATTTCTACCACATTTGCCTTCATTTCCTTTGACACACCTGAGGACAGTTGAATAGCCTGAAGGAATCGTAGAATCACAGAATATTCTGAGTTGGAAGGGACTCACAAGGATTATCAAGTCCAACTCTTGAGTGAATTGCCTGTACAGGGATCAAACCTGTGACCCTGGTGTTATTAGACTTGCTTTGTCTTTTCATTTCAAAGTCTGAGTGAAATTGGTCAAATATAACTATGTGTTTCTTTAGACTTATCTTAGAATTCTTAGTGATCCTGTGTTTAAGATACCAATATTTCTATAACTTAACAAATGGAAAAAAGATGTTCCCAGTGACTGTGATCAAACGTGGGAACATTTGCCCTGGAAAGCTGTAGGATCTACTTCCCTGGCAATAGTCAGGCCTCAGCTGGGGATGACCACGAGCAGTCTTTTAGGACCTGAAAGTTGGCCTTGCTCTGAGCTAGGACCTGGACCAGATGAGTTCTGCAGGTTGCTTCTACCACAACTTATATTAAGATGAACAGGATAGCTGGAGAGGTTGTTCACCCACCAGCTGCCAGCTGGAGGGGAGGAGGAGCTGTACAAAGCATGTGCTGTGCAGTGCCATGCAGTACAATTTCATTTCAAAAGCACTTGGTCTGACTTTTGTCAGCAAGAACAGGCATTAGATGAACCCATGAACCAGGGCTAATAGCAGGAGGTGAAACATCTGTCAAGTTGCAAATATTTTTTGAAGGTACCACAACAATCCGTGGCTATTAAAGATAACAAAGGGAAGATAGAGAAGGAGCAGCTGTCTGACTTGTCAAGGAAGATATGATTTGCTCCAGGACAGCAGATATCAATAGTTATTTGGGAGCCTGAAATGCAATGTATTTGTGTTAAATTGGAATCTTCCCCCCCTTCATATTACAGTATTTTTCAATAAAAGTCAATTTACCTGATCCTGTGGCGATGTGCTTTTAGGTATGGCTCATAATCTTCACAAGGGCAAACAGAGGTTGTGGGTTTAAGCACGTCATCCCACATTTCCAGTCCTTTAGCCTCGGTACACCATTATGTTCAAACATACTCAAAGATTTAGATAGATAGAAGTGTGCCTTTGCCACTGCTTGTCTGCAGTGACCTTGTTATCACAGCAAAGTGTCTCTCTGGATTCCAGGCCATGCTTCAGGTGCTGTGTGTTTTTTGCTGGAGTGACCTGGAATTATCTGATCCTTCCCATCTTTTACTACTGGATGGGGTGACATCAGCTAATATCAAGTGGAAATGCTTAACAGAATGGGGGGCAAAATCAAAACAGATTTCTATGTTGGTTTGAGTCTGAACACAAAATTTTCCTGCTCTCGGTCTTTACTGGCAGCAGAATAGCAAGGGGGTTCCTAAGTCTTAGCTGCCCTGGGTCCTGCAAAAGCCAACATTGCTTTAGGGGGAGAAGTGTGACCTCCACAAGGAGTCTTCTCTCCCAGCTTCATAAGTCTCATTTCAAAGAAACCCAAAAGATTCCTGGGCATCCTGCTCACCACTTGATAGCAGTCAGCCAAAGGGCCCCCAGTCTCACTTGTCGCCATTTACTTGCCTTCCTCCTGTGACTATTTTCCACAGGGATCCTCCAGAGATCTCACTAGGACTGCTCTATGTTGCTACTTGGCAATGTGGGAAGTCATTCCAACACAGCCTGACTCTGGCAGACACATATTCATCTCATTCGTATAGGAGGAAAGCTCTCTTTAAACAGTGAAAAGAAGCCAAACAGAGTAACTAATTATCACTTGTATTAATTCTTGCTACTGCCTGTCAGAACAAGGGTTTAAAGGCTCTCTTGGATATCTAGAGACAGTACTGTCTGACAGATTAGCTTCACCTGCCATCAGCAGGAGTTTGGAAGTGCATGTGGAGAGTGCCTGCTCCCAGACAGAGTAAACAAGCACTGGCTGAAGGCAGAGGCACAGCTGCAGCTGTGCACAGCACTTGAAGGCCTCTCTGCATTCCCACACCTGGCAGAGCTCCCCTTGCTTCCAATTTAAAGTTGAAGGGTTTCTCTTTCACAGGGTTGTTTTGGGGTTTAATTCACATTTTTTTTCTTATTAACATTTTCCACCATTGCCTCCTACGGAGATTAATGACAGTCCAAGACAACGGGTGAGTGAAGTTTATCCTGTAACTCCTGTTGCATCTAAAACCAGGCATGTGTTGCTGTTTTCTTTCTGACACTGGGTTGGCGCATCAGAGCTCAGCCACATGGTACTTAGTAGGTCACAGTCTCTGCAGATTCCTTGTGATTAGCAGAGCTGTTCAGCTCCCTTGTGCAGGGTTACAGGTTGGAATATGAATTTCACACTGGGAACAAAGCTGTAAAGATAACGTTTCAACTCACATTCCAGACTGGTTTTGACTTGGAAAAGTAGATGTAGACTCTCCAGAAAATAAGAATGGCCATGATGGTTCAAACCACAGCTCTATTTACCCAATATTATATTTTAACTCTATTTCGTTTAAGGCATTATAATTTTTCAGCAGAGGATGGTATTTTCTTGGAAAATGATTCAATGTTTACTTTTAATAATCTGTTTTAAAAAATGAATTGGAGGAAAAGTATTTAATGTCAGATGAATTATTTGCTTTACCTGTCCATATTTAAAACAGAAATTAAAATATAAGCAAACTGAGAGATACATAAAAACTGACAGCCACCTTTAATTTTCCCACACCCAACTATGAAATGACCTATTAATACTGGATATAAAAAAGATGTAGTGCTGTCAAACAACCATACAAATACTAACTAAAATGAAAGCCTCAGTGCCATAGCCAGCTGCCAATACCACTATGCAAAAATGCACAGGAAACTAAATTCTACTGATCCTGCTGCCCAAATGATTTGCTTTTTCACTGCATGTATACTAGAATCTTGGTAAATTAAACAGCTGATAATCCCAGGAACCAAAAACAGTTAGAAAAACCTATATGCAGTTTTTGGAAGTGTCCGAAGATACTCTCTATCCACGTGACTCAAACTGACCTTACTGGGTGTTTCACCACTTCAGTATCACAAGATGTTTTGAAAAATTTAACAACTAAGAAATCCAAGTTCTGGGTACTTTCCACTAGTTATGAGATTAAAGGAATCAGCCTAATTTTTATTTGTTTTATAAAGAATCTTCTATAGGAAAATTAGTGCACTATTAATGCAGTAAATTACACAATAAAATGCCTATTTGTCACAAAGTATTTATGAAATTATGTGAACCTGTATGAGAGCAAAGGTTTAACATCCTGAAAACCTCTCTTGATGAGGAATTCGGTCTGTTCCTCAGAATGCGGACCTGCAAAAGCTTTTCACTGGGGAGCAAGGAGTCTAAGAAATGCAAAACAGAACTGACAGACACAATTTGGAGATAATTAGCAGATTGACTTTCCATGATCAGCTAATTTTATTACCAGTTAAATTGTTTGCTTCTCATTGTATTTCACCGCCCATGCATCTCTAATAACAAATAGCCTTAATAATTACAAGCAATACCTACTGTGATATGAATAGGATGATATGAACAACAAAATTACTATAATCAATCATCAGCAGTATGTTGTTTAAATTTGCAGAAATAGAGGAAATTCCAAGGAACCACTGCGGCAGCAATCTCCCTTATCTGATCACAAAATGTTACACATGAGCTGAGAAATGTAACAGCATTTATGCTTATGTGAACTGAGCACAGCTGAAATGCATTCCACCACCTTAACCAGATGGCAGTTTTGATATGTGTAGCAATAAGAAGAGATTGCTGGAAAGATTAGTACGTGTGGGGACGGTGGGCTTGTGCATAATATATAGAGACAGACAGATTATCTGAAAACTCGCTGTGGTCTCTTTCCTTGACAAGCAAATGCTGAACAAATACAGCTGCTCCATGTCCATGACCTTACACAGACAGTGGTCACAGTGTTGTTTCTCTTGGTTGCAGCCAGCGTGTTTGAGTGTTCTCAGGAACACTTCTGAGAAAACAGGGATAGAGATATCACCATGCTAACAAT